GATTGCTTGACCGGTTTGATAGCCCAGCCGATATTTGTTGCATGGCGTTTGCTGATTCACCGCGTTTATGAATCTTGCGATCATCAGGCTGAACTGTATAAAGCAGTTGTGGTGTCCGCATTATTTTGTTCAGGATGGTCTTTTGTTAATCTTTGCCTTATCAGTATGGATCGTCACTACGCGCTCGCAAAGCCGTTGGTGTACCGTGCATCTGTGACGAAGAAAGGTAAATGTTGAATGTAAAGTAGAAAAATGATCCTCCCATTTATTTGCAGTTTTATAAATTAAAAATGTAAAGGTTCGATTGACCTCAATCTACGGACTGAGTTCAATTTCCGAACGTTCGATTGACTATGCCGAGCCTATGGTGACTGTCTAATCCAATCCTTATAAACGACAGACACTGCCACAGACCCAACAGACGTAGCCTGATGATACTAGGGAACTTAAGCAACGACTACGACGACGCCGAGGACGCGCCTAGTCAAAAATGAATTTATGTTTTACCACTGAAATTCGCGATTGTCTAGATTTGTTCGGTATGCCAAATATGTAACGACGGCGTTTAATTCTGAATAGAAATACGAAAAATTAGCCGTCGTCGTCCACTTTCCGTAGACGACGCAATACTTGATCATTTCACGTTTTTTTTTTGCAGAGGACGACCTGAGGTGAAGAAATGTACAAAGATTTATGACGCACGTGCACAGCTACTGTTTTGCTCATTTTGTTTCGTGACGTTCTCGTTGCCGTCGTCGTCGTGGTTTGCTTAAGCTCCCTACTGGTGCTTATGCTGCGGCCTTTGCAGCAGCCTTTCTCTTCGCTCAGTTTTGTATCGGCTTCGGCATTCAGCATTGTTTCCGTACTGCACTGAGGTCATTACTGTAAGTTAAGGACCGAGCTTTTCAAACTCAAGCGTTCCCTCTCTCACGCCCTGCTTCGTGGAGTTTTTGCTCTCGCTCCGATTTACGCGCGGCCAGAATGCGGAAAAGCTCTTTGTAGGGGAACGCTTGCTACGCAGGCTAAATTTTACGCTGTGTTCCATAATCAAGCAGTTGACTTAAGAGTATCGCGGCGAGATTCGTAGGTAAAATATAAATTAATTTCTTAATAGACGTTTCCCTCGGCGTCGCTGTCGTAGCTTCTTAAACTCCCTATTGACCGGCCGACTATAAACTAAAGGTTTCAATCTTTAGCTCTTATTAACCGAGCAAAGTCGGTCTGTATGGGAGAATCTTGACCTCGGTCGTGTGTACAGACCGAACGCAGTGAGGTCTGTACACACGACCGAGGTCAAGATTCTCCCATACAGACCGACTTAGCTCGGTTAATAAGATGTTTATTATATGGCAAACAAGAAAACTTTAATTTGTTTAATGTAACTGGTTTGCTGACATTTTGCTTGCAAACAGCGATGATATTAACTTAAATCTGCCGAAATTTGCTCGTCCTCTTTAGTTCTTTTTTTGTCATCAGGTTTTTTGGCACTTCTATAAATGATTGAGGAGAAAATAAAAGAAACTGGTGAACATTTTTGTATTTTAGTTTGCTACTTTTTCAACGCAAAATGAAACCGGTCTACAGACGCCGGTCTAGATGGGAAAATCTAGACCGCGGTCAGTATCGATTTCAGCCGATCAAATTCGTACATTCGGTAGTTACCAGTCCTTGTGAGACACAGCCATATAATAAATAAAAATATAACTCTGTGGAATACCTATTTATCTATTTCCAAATATTTGCTCTCCATCAATAAGATGACTTTCAGAAAGTGGTCAGCCGCCTTACTTATACCAAGTCTCAGCTAAGAAATAATAATATCAATAAGACACCAATGTTGAAACTCATGTCTAGATTGGCTCTGAAGGAATATCCCCGGATATCCCTGACTTGTTGGCGTTTCTCGGTCACGTGACGTTTTAAAAATTTGGGCAATAGAGCACTTTTTCCGTGTTTACATAGCCTCATCTAAACACGAGGAGGGTTGCGAGAATTCGATACAGATATGCAAACCAGAGAGGTAGTCAACGGTTTGCATAACTTTCGAGAATTCTCCCAGCTCCCCGAGTTGTGGATACGCGCCAATGTAAAACGTCACAACCGTGTTTACATACTCTCACTTAAATACACCTATCCACCAATGAGAGCGCAGTAGTAGTTCATTTATTTTAATAAAATTGCGTGCGAAAGCAAATACACGATCGATTACTGAAATATGGATCTGTTTTTATCAACAGTGGCCGTGATGTCCATTACCTTGTCTGGAGCAACCTGGCTAATGTGCTTGAGTTTGAAAGTTTTCATTTTGCCGGGATTTCATTCATTTATCATGATCATGGCTTTGGGTGTGGTTCTGCTCATTGCACCGATCGTAAACCACATCGGAATCTTCATTGCCATTCGTCGTCATAACAGACGGGTGGTGGAGGTCGTTTCAGGAAATAATTTATCCGTTATATTCAGGCGGGAAAAGAGAGCGGCTATTGACATGTTCATAGTGATTGCTGTGCTTTTGATTTGCTTGGCTCCAGCTCTAGCCGTCGATATATCTCGGTTGTTTTTTCCTGACAGGTTTGGTTGCTTGTGGTTGTGGAGCAATAGTCTTGTTTATGTGAATTCCTCCATAAATCCTGTTATTTACTGGGCTCGGAAAAGTGATATCAGGCGTGCTGTAAAATCCATGTTGTCATTTTGAATGCTGAACTGTAACCATTGTCTGGCTTTGTTCAAAATATTATTCTAAAGTAAGGGACCAGTCAAAAAGTATAAGAAGGA